AATGACTTCAGACCATCACTGTTTGATTAAAATTAACTTTTTAGGACAAAAGTACTCGGAAAGTACTCGGCCGAGTACTTTCCGAGTCCTTGTCTCCTTAAAATTTAAATTTTACACAACTGGGAGTGTCTGAAGTCTAACATTTATTTTGTAATCTTACCTTTGCAGATTTACCATCAAATGCCTATGCACTCTGGCTTTATTCCCTCTTACCCAGTTCAGTATTTTGCGGAGAATGTTGGTACTCGGAAAGTACTCGACTACAACACTGCAGCCAGCACGTGCAACACTCATCTATATGGGTAAGGTTTTGTTCCTCAGCCACACTATCACTGCAAGGTGGCTAAAATTTGCTGGCCATGCTTTTGCGCCACTGAAGAGCCAATTTTGGACCTCATTTCGTGCGAACCAAATCCAAACACCACGAAGTTCTTGTATGTCAAGCTTCTCTGTCACTTTACACCAGCGCAACGAAGAAAAGCTAAGGGGACGTATGTCAGATGGGCAGCAATGGCAACGTATCTTGGGTGTATGCGACTTTGACTTTGATTGGCTGTTAACCGTTATTAATCTCATTATCACGATTATTTTCATCGTAAATAACTATTATGGGAGGAACCACATTCCTCTTCGGATTACACTAAATGCTATAGGATTACTAGATGATTTGCAACAGTTGGTAAATTTAATTATGGTACCGTTAAATTGGCGTTTAAATGAGCAGTAAGAGGTACAGTTTACTCTGGAACTTACCTTCATTAATACCTTCAAGTTAATAAACAAGCACATTGCTGAAACAACTTCATTCAATAGGAAGCTTTAATAAATATAACGAGATACACTACAATCACAGCTAGGTTTGCTTCGGTGATAAAACTTTTACGGAAGTTGTTAATAATGTATTTTTTATTTATTCCTCTTTAAAGGAATCTGCACCGCTCGACTCTTATGGTCCATCTTCTGACTTCCCTGGCAGTTTATGAAAGTAATGATCACGTTATGCCAAAGTAACATACCATCATCGTTGTAGTTGAACACACCGTCCCTTCCACTGCGACTGTCAATGCGATCAATACCCCATGGTGGGTTATTTTGTGAGCCGAAAAGTGTTAAGATGGGGTCCTGGTGAATGTACTCGACACCCTCAATAGCACGCACCTAAACAAAAATGGTGGCTTTTAACATTTCAAGAACAAGCAATAACAGCAACCTATATAACAACAAGCAACATATAAAATTAACGCACAGATAATAAAAAAAAATTAACCACTATAGAAAGTGATAATTTCTCCCTTTAAAAAAGATGCATAAGAATTTGAAAATGCATTGTTGACTCAAAACTGACAGCTCACAGCTACTTCTCGTCTGATGGAAATCCAAAGTTGACCTGGTAACTTACCCGGGTAAGGATGTGCTGTGGAATCTTGAGGATCAGAACTGGCATGAGTTTTTCGAGCTTGTCGATTCTGGGAGCAGGTGCACGGAACGTGGAGAAGATGTCCTCAATATCTTGTTGCAAGCGCTCCAGCTGGTCAAAATCCTGAAATACGCAGCATTAATAGACTGTAGTAAGTCAGCTAACGTTTCATATTTTCACCTGATTAAATCCACGCCATCTGGTTGGTGGGTCGTCGACCATCCCTCCTAAAAATTCGTTCTGCCAAATGCCGACCGTCACGGATAGGCTCTTCGCACAGCCGAAATTTTGGCGAGCATTAGGCTTGAGACACTTGTTTTGTACGCCTTTGTATGGTCAATGCATGGAATACAGTGGAATACATGTAGGCTACATGGAATCTATGAGCGCAATTGCATGGTTGCACTCCATAGACATCTCATAGAAAACAACGCAAAATAGAAAGGCCGCTTCAAGGTAACGCTAAGGAACAAATTAGTTACTTGTGTTTTACTTAAAATTCAAGATAATAGCCACAAGGAAAATGTTCTTTTTTATTTCACAAGTGGTACCCACATCAATGCTTTGTCCTAGCCATCCCCCAAATACTTACCCAGGAGTAAATCTTTTTTTGCCAAGGTCTGAATGAATCCGCCCGTCTCCATACAACATAGACCCCCAAGATGGACTGTTTTGTGACCGACTAGGCGACTACCCTGAGCCAGTCTCAAGTGCTTAATATTATAGGCATATTTGTAAAATAAGTCCAGTAGCGTATCTACGGGAGGGGGGGTGGTTAGGGCTACGGGGGCACGTTTCCCCAAGCGGATGCCCTTGCCCCCGGTACCCCCCATGAAATCTCTGAATAATCTCCGTTGAGTTTATATATATAGCTACGCAGGTGCAGCTTATTTTCTTGTGATGCCCCCTTGAAAATTGTTGTGTGCACCCCCAGGTGCCCCCGAACATTTAGCCTTAGT